CTCATAGAGTCCTACTGTGAACCCTGAAATGTTGAGTACCCCAACGTTATATGTTTAGAAATGTATAGCATAGAAACTGCCGGATGCTAACTTGCATATGTTGGACAATTTGCACATTTGCAGGTTATTGAGGATGGTGAATTCATTTAACCAGAAACAGGCCATATTTGTAGTCCTAAGGGGCTGATTTTCATTCATTTCTGGTCCTTCTTGAAGTTTTAGGGGACTCTGGATCATTAGGATTGGACAGATTGCTCATGTATTTGAAAAGATATTGTCAACAGTAGAGGTGATAATTGTCATCTTGTGCTCTCTATATCCAATGGTCGCAACACGGCTCATGGTTGTCAAAATCTGACCATTCAGACTACAAATATGGCCACTTTTTTGGAACGTAGCCTATGATAATTGTGCAGCAAAGTTATGATCCGGTAGTTTCTATGTGCTGGGGACCCGTACTATACATTTCTAACATAAAACGTTGGGGTACTCAACATTTCTGGGTTTAACAGTGCTAGCAACTAGACTTTTATCCAAACCCCCGCCTCCCGCCTCCCACCCCCTCCTTAAAAGGGCCGGCGGTCCAAGTTGGCACAAAGGTCAGCCCCCCCCCCAACAGACGTTATCAGCTGCCTGTCCAAACACAAAGCGGGGCCCCCACCTACTTCCCCCCCCCCCAACGCTTTTTTCTGCAGAGATCGGTGACTTCATGGTCTGAGAACCATCAACAGAGTGGGTCGTATCCTCATAAGGAAATATTATGATGGCTGTTATGATGAATTGTGTGAGGAATTCAGAGTGTAATCGGAGAAATCGTTAATCTGCAGCAAAAACAACTGGAAGGTGAGGCTGTATTGAAATGTTAACAATGGGTGGTGAGAGCCGGGCTGTCGGAGACTTTTGACTCAGATTGTGTGGACTTTCTCCATGCCTGCAGCTTACTGGACATGCTTTTCAGTAATGTATGAAACCCTGAAAAGCAGAGTTAGTATCAGTAGGAATGGATGGACTGCTACTGGGCACAGGGGTCCTACCGGTTAGGGACACACATATGCAAAATGATCACAGAGACACACAATTATCCAAATAGGACATTATACTGTACATCCAAAACGAGTTCCAAATATGTCACAGAGATGCAAATTCACCAAAATAAGACGTTATAAATCAAAAAGAGATGGAACACAACTCCAGAGACCTGGTTCAAAGATCCAGGAATCAGCTCAGAAAGGGATAAGACTAAAACACCATCATTCAAATTTAGTTTTTAGCACTATCAGAACACTGCTGCATTACTGACACTGATGGAGCGTGGTGCCATTAACTGGAACACAAAGCTGTGTTTGTTGCAAGTTCAGACGGGAAGTCACAGTCTGTGTAATTTCTGCCCCACAGCAGCATCAATCAACAACCCATTACATCACCACACACACACACACTCTCACACACACACACACACTCACACTCACTCACTCACACACACACACAGAGGCTGGCCTGTTCTCCAGGCACAGATTTGGCAACACATGACTTCATGTTTGACACGTTGACGTTGTAGTTTACCCAAACAAGGCTGCAAGCAGAGAAACACTCCATGTTTGTGCATGAGCTTGACTCCAAAGAAATGAAAACTGAGCTATATGTGTACATATTTCCACTCAGTCACGGCTGGTTTATCCCAAACACCCCAAAAAGACTTTAAGGCGGCAACAGCTTGTCCCGGCTGGATACTGAGATGTTTTTCCGCCAGCTGGGGGGGAAATTAAGACACTTATTGTGTGTCTGACAGCTGGAATATGTTGTGAAATTCAACAGAAATAATCAGAAGTTTCGTCAGTTTGAGGCGCTGAAGGCCCCCCAGATGTGGCGCTGCAGCGAGCATCAAACATCTGTCTGTGAGATGTGATGGATGCATGCATTCCACACAAAGTTCAACTATAATCTAATGACTTAGAGCAAAATCTGAGCTTCCTTTAAAAGCGCTGCTGACAAGAATTCCTCTTTTGTATTAGAAGTTTAACACTTTTGTTTGGATGGTTCTTTGTATCTGGAATGGTGCGTTTTATTGTTGCTTGAGTAAATAATGAACATGGCAGGAAAGAAAGTTTCTACAGCTTCAGGCAAATTAGACCAAGTGAAGACTTTTTAAAGCAATTTGGAATTGATTTAAAGACCAATTTACACACATTTCCCCCCCATTTTTACTGGCAATACGAAAGGCAGTTGATCAATTATTTACAGATAAATCTATACAATGGCTCCCAAACCCTTTGGCTAAGACAATCAGTCCTTTGACACATGCCACTTGTTAGCAGAGATTAATTTCCCCTGCAAACTTCTCAGCTGGTTTCATTTAACAGTTTGAAGCCCATTGCGATGTGATATCAGAATGTGATTCGAGTCATTAGGTCTACTTCTCATTTAAGTCCAAATGTGGCAAATCATGTCGAGACCTCAACATTAACTTCTAAGCCAAATTCAGGTCTGAAGTCATCTGTTTTCTGAGTCAGTCAAGTCATCAAAACAGTGACTCAAGTCGACATCTCTGTGTCATGTTGTATATTATTACACAGCTTTGTTGAATACTCCATTCTGATTGGTCAATTTGGACATTTCACAGGTTGTTAATTTTCACTAACAGACCATTGTTAAGGACAACAGCCTGCTGCTAAGGAGAACAGACCGTTGACAGGAGAATAGACTGTTGCTAAGGAGAACAGACTGCTGAGGAACAGACCGTTGCTATGGAGAAAAGACTGTTGCTAAGGAGAACAGACTGTTGCTAAGGAGAACAGACTGTTGCTAAGGAGAATAGACCGTTGCTAAGGAGAACGGACTGCTAAGGAGAACGGACTGCTGAGGAGAACAGACCGTTGCTAAGGAGAACAGACCGTTGCTATGGAGAAAAGACTGTTGCTATGGAGAACAGACTGTTGCTAAGAAGAACAGACCGTTGACAGGAGAATAGACCGTTGACAGGAGAATAGACCGTTGCTAAGGAGAACGGACTGCTAAGGAGAACGGACTGCTGAGGAGAACATACTGCTGAGGAGAACAGACCGTTGCTAAGGAGAACAGACCGTTGCTATGAAGAAAAGACTGTTGCTAAGGAAAACAGACCGTTAGTAAAGGAGAACAGACTGCTAAAAAGAACAGGCTGCTGCTAAGGAGAACAGACTGTTGCTATGGAGAAAAGACTGTTGCTAAGGACAAAAGCTCCCTTTGAAGGAGAAAAGACCATTACTGAGGAGAACAGACCAAGGGACTATGTGCAGTCATATCAATCCACAGAAAGAAGTCGGGTAAATGTAACGTAGTTTTCAGAAGAAGAGTTAAGTTTCTCACCATGACAGGAGCCATCCTCTGCAGGAGCGTATCCCAGAATGCACTGCGCGGTGGACCTGACTCTGGGGTAGCTGGCCTCCACAGACCCAGCCGGGTCGGGGACGAAGGGCTCAGGAAACCCCAGAGATGTTTCAGGGTAGAGGGGCTCCGGCAGGGCGGGGGTCTCGGGTCTGAAGGGCTGGTTGTACAGATTCCTGGGGAGACACAGGTACCCTCCGTTCTGGTTCACACAGCGCATGTCTCCACGGCAAACATCTGGCATGGCGCGGCACTCGTCCACATCTGGAACACAGAGAGCTCTGATGAAGCCATTCCTGCATTTACTGCAGATAAAGGTCTTAATGATAGGCAAAGAGCACTGGAGGACAGTACATTTACTCAAGCACTGCACTTAAGAAAAATGATGAGGTATTTTACTAATATCTGCCACTTCATACTTCTACTCAACTTCAATTCAGAGGTAAATATTGTCTCAACAACATACACTTACATAAATTATTTATTATGCATTACTTCATGTGTTTTGATCTTATGTATAGAGTCTATGGTTTTAAGACAACTTTATTGATACATTGGTGATATACACAACTGCATATATAGTAAAAAGTCCCACCTCTACCAGCTGCAACATTAAAGTGAACAACACAATAATGCATCAATGTTAATATTGCTTGCTATTAATGTGTGTACAATTATTACTAATATATATTATTCTGCATATTGAGTAGCAAAATGTACTCACCTATGCACTGTCTCGACCTGCGATCATAGGCAAACCCTTCTGTGCAGGTCTGAGGAGAGAAGACCAGATACATTTCCATAAAATGTATCCGTTACATTGCATGCATTTTCAACTTTATATACTGTGACAGTTTAATCCGTTTCCTTGTGTCAATAAAACCACATTAAGAGGAGATCTGCAGACAATAAGCATGACTGTAGTCTAAACTGAATGAGATGGGAACACACTAAAGGAAAGGTGTTCATTACCTGTCCGTGTCCAGGCTGGATACAAAGCAGAATAAATACCAGAGCTGCCAACATCCTGCAAAGAGGGAAAGTATTTTAACTCTTCTCAGAGAGGGCAGTAACTCGGTTTAAACACAAAGCAAACTCTGTTACGCAAAGAGAAGATTACTGACCTTGCAGAGGAGCGAAACCTGAAGCCACGTCTTTCATAAAGCATCCTTCCTCAAAGGGGAAAAGAGTTTGACGACCCGTAAATTCTCCCCAAATCCCCTTTATGCTCTCACCACCCCCCCCAACTATGCGCCTTTACGCCAAAACCGACACCGGGGTCTCATGAACGGCAGCAGCTCCGGTGCATGGACTGAAGTTCTGCAGGAATGCCTTCTTCAAAATGGACTGCGATCCGCTCTCTGCTGCACATTATTTAGCAAAATGCAAATTGACCGGCCCCCTCCGAGCGCACACACACACAACAGCTGGATTCAATCATGGAGAGCCCCCCCCCCCCCCCCCCCCCCCCTCTTCCCCTCCAGAGCTGCTGCTGGGGGGGAAACAGGCAGAAAGCATACACAGTGGGTGTCTGTTTTCCAAAGATACAAACCCCACACTGCACATCTGGCTCTGCATGCTGTAGTAGCCACATCTGGTTTGTTTAAATGCACAAAAAAAGACAAAACGCACAGCAGTAAATTTGCCCAGCAGTTCCTTTTATTTGATTTGAAACTCAGATTAAATCAAGTGTACTAACTCCTGTTAAAGATCATCCAAGTTCAAGGTAATCCAACACCTTCTTTTCCATGTTTTTTTTACGTCTACAAAAGTTCTTTTAAAGCGAGGATTTACAGTTTTTACATTTCATCAGCACACCTGGAGAGGCTCTCCTTCTGATTGATGTCTTTACAAAAATGCAGAGCAGCGCTGGCCAGCTCTGGTCAGGTAAAACTTTTTTAAATGTGCATTTTTTTACATTTTGTAAATATATATATTTATATTAACCATATACAATCCTGATTATACAACCAATTAGCAAAAATGCAGGCACTTAAAACTCCCAAAACTTCCTTTATAGTGCCTATAAATAAGAAAAGAAACGCCACCCCCCTTTACATATAACTATAATAACATATGAGCTGATCAACCACAGGCCGCAGACGTAATTACAACGCTTTGCATATCACAGTCCGGCCGTCTGCGACAGACAAGACTTAGCAAGAAATGTCTTCATGGGTTTAACAGATGCACTGAAGCACGTACATCTCCACGCAGGCTTTTGCTGCCAGAGCTTTAGGAAAGTCCTGGATCAGATGCAGTTTGCTGCTGAAAAGAGGAATAAAAACGACTCAGAAGACAAGCGAATAAAAGTCACGATGCAAGTCTCAGGATGAAGACTCGCAGGACGCGAGACGTTTCCTCTGGTCTCGATGGATTGAGCTGCACACAGCGAGTTTAAAAGGTCACTGAAGTGGAGACAAATCTAAATGTAACTCATAATGAAGAGGACAGTTTCTATAAAAATCAAATATGTTGTTTTCTGAAGTATGAATGACCCACAAACGAACGAGTCCTTTCTGCATGTGGAGTCCTTTCATTGCTTATTTTTAAGTTAAATAAAGTTGAGACAGATTGCATAGAGCGGTAATTGCTTAAAAAAAACAACATTTAGTTTCAGTCCCCTCTTTAAAAAAGAAAAAGGGATTATTAAGCCTTTATGAGGATATGTAAAAGAAGAGCAGCAGTGAGTCTAACTCAGTCTGTGTAGTGTATTTGTTATGGTTTAAAGTGTGTATCACTGCTTTAACAGGTCTTTGAGCACCGCTCCCCCGCTCTCTGCGGACACCGGCACCGGGGTGAAGGTGGGCAGCGCGGCGGAGATGGGCTTCATGAGCAAGTGACCCCCGTGACCCCCAGGGCCCCCGGAGCTGGAGCCGGCCAGCAGGGGGACGGCGGCGGAGCGCGGGGCCAGGAACGGGTTCATCTCGCCGGGTCGCTTCCCGAACGACGAACCCCCTGTGAGGAGGAGAGGACAAGTGATGTGTGGTTCATTTCAAGAGTTTGGGCTGTTTTGCGTTCAATGACATGTCTTGTTTTAAAGACTGGTGGATAGTATATCTGAATAAGTATAAAAACATGCACAATTAGCTAACTCTTTCTCCTAAATTCACCCAAAGTAATCATTTAATAATAATGCCTCATTTGCATATCTAAACATAACACTTCAGAAAACTTGTTTAACCCTATTCACCTGTAGTGACCCATCAATGCATTCAAAAACCCACCTGTTCAACACTGCATTCAACCTCTGACCCCCCCCCCCCCCTTTTCTGTTTTTGTTTGTCTCTTTGTGTATTTTTCTTCGTTTTCTGTTTTATTCTCTGTCAAAGCGTCTTTGCGTTTTTTGAAAAGCGCTATATAAGCGTCATGTATTATTATTATTATTATTATTGTTGTAGTGTAGTGACCTCCTATGAGGAGACATTTAGCTTAAAGGGGACCTATCATGCAAAATGCACTTTTGTACGTCTTTTCTACATGAATATGTGTCCCCGGTGTTCCAGGGAACTCACCAAGTGTCAGAAAACACAACCCTCTCTATTTTCCTCCATACCCAAATCTCTAAAAAAGGGGCTGCAACAGATCTGATAAAAACTGATCCAGATTTGAACACTGTCCTGACGTCAGGACGGTGGCGCTACGGCTATTGGGCCAACTCCACCAATCAGGAGGAGACAGCCACGGCCATTGCCGTTCGAAAGCGCTGGAGACGCTGTAGTACATATGCCAGGCCTGTAGATGGTGCTGTTCTCACTGAATCTGCCCTTGCCAAAACAGAGCTAGAAAATGTCAAATTGAGCGAAATGAGGCATGGCTAAAATGCATGATCTGTTTGGTATTTTGAAAAAAAAAAAAAGCATAAATATGCCTTATATAGGTATGGTCCTACACTATATTATTCAAATATAGCATGATAGGTCCACTTTAAGTTTAATATGTTGCAGTCACTGTTAATTTTAAGATTTTGGGCTATTTCGCCTGGACTAGTGGATAGTTAAAATCTAATAAATCCACATGTGTCAGTAGATTTCTCCTAAATTCACCAAAACTTACCATTAATTAAGACCTCATTTACATATTCAAACAGAACATGTCAGAAAACATTCTGAAGTATTGTGTTAATGTCAGTAATGAAGTGGGGAAGTTTCATCTGTTAGTTAAATATTTTACCCCGTTCACCTGCAGTGTCTTAATGTTGGCGGTTATTCCCAAAGTGTTTACCTGCGGCGGAGCCTGACGCTGCGCTGTTGGTTCTCCTCGGAGGCGGCGCGCTCAGAGGCGTGATTTCATGGACGAGGAGTTTTGGTGCGGGCATCGAAGGCGACGACTCGATCTCCAGGAACTTTACAAACATCTCTGAGAAGGACTGCAACAACAAGAAAGAGAGGAAAGTGTGAAGTGCTGCTGAAATACATCTTACACAAGGAGTCCAAAATGAAGAGTTAGATTCAGAATAACTTCCTGGGAAAGAAATGGTGACTAAAATGTACTATGGTGTATCGCAGAGGTGAGCATTGGGATAACAACCCTGGCAAAAACTGGCATTTTTGTTTGTTTAAAATGAATGTTTTTTTACTCCGAGGAACCACATCTCCTCACTTTGCAAAGTTGGTTCAACCCCATAAGACTTTTACATTATAGAGCAAGTTTGGTTATCAACAAATACTAACAATAATCAATATTAATGCATCGATTTATATTCATAAAATCATAAAAATAGGTAAATGACAACTGGCACTACATTAGGAATGTAAATCAACTCAACATTAAAAAAATCACTCAGCAGAATCAAAAATAATCAAAAATGATTTATTAACAATTATTTTTAGTTAAATTGTCAATTAAATGAAATACTATGAATCTAGTGGCACCAACTTGTCTTTTCCATATTCCCAATTCATGGTGACGTCAAAATGGTGATTTAGATTAATGGTACAGCCATATTTCTCTGTGTGCATATTATTATCTCTTCTCCTGTTTTCACTCTGGACGTTTCCTTGTGAAAGCATACAGACCCCGAGTGCTTTGTTTCTCTATAAATGAAGGGAAGTTATGCTGGAGCCGGTCTGTGATAACTCGCTGAAAGAGAGTCCTGGGAAGTGTGGTGTTTGTCTAATATACAACATAAATCAGTCAGAGCCATTACAGCGTTTCTCTGGGCTTTGCAGCCTTTTGGGGTGGGGCGGGTTTGTTGGTCTCTCCTCAAAAGAAATTGTGATTTTAGTTTACATTATTTTGCACCATTATAACTATAGATAGACTGAAATAAGGTCTGTGGTTAACACAAGCTGAACACACTTTAATGCTTTGTTCTACAACATAAAATACGTCAGTAAATACCCCACTGATGGATTTAAAACCTACAGTTGCTAACAAGGGTCTAAATGCGACGACTCAACGTCATCACGCCCAACATTAGCCGCCTTTAGCTTAGCGGTGGTGACGTGAAGTCATGTGACCGTGCTGTAGTTCCTTTATAGCCCAACATTAGCCGCCTTTAGCTTAGCGGTGGTGACGTGAAGTCGTGTGACCGTGCTGTAGTTCCTTTATAGCCCAACATTAGCCACCTTTAGCTTAGCGGTGGAGACGTGAAGTCATGTGACCGGGCTGTAGTTCCTTTATAGCCCAACATTAGCCTCCTTTAGCTTAGCGGTGGTGACGTGAAGTCGTGTGACCGTGCTGTAGTTCCTTTATAGCCCAACATTAGCCGCCTTTAGCTTAGCAGTGGTGACGTGAAGTCATGTGACCGTGCTGTAGTTCCTTTATAGCCCAACATTAGCCACCTTTAGCTTAGCGGTGGTGACGTGAAGTCATGTGACCGTGCTGTAGTTCCTTTATAGCCCAACATTAGCCGCCTTTAGCTTAGCAGTGGTGACGTGAAGTCATGTGACCGTGCTGTAGTTCCTTTATAGCCCAACATTAGCCACCTTTAGCTTAGCAGTGGTGACGTGAAGTCATGTGACCGTGCTGTAGTTCCTTTATAGCCCAACATTAGCCACCTTTAGCTTAGCAGTGGTGACGTGAAGTCATGTGACCGTGCTGTAGTTCCTTTATAGCCCAACATTAGTTGCCTTTAGCTTAGCGGTTGTGACGTGAAGTCATGTGACTGTGCTGTAGTTCCTTTATAGTCCAACATTAGCCGCCTTTAGCTTAGCGGTGGTGACGTGAAGTCATGTGACCGTGCTGTAGTTCCTTTATAGCCCAACATTAGCCACCTTTAGCTTAGCGGTGGTGACGTGAAGTCATGTGACCGTGCTGTAGTTCCTTTATAGCCCAACATTAGCCACCTTTAGCTTAGCGGTGGTGACGTGAAGTCATGTGACCGTGCTGTAGTTCCTTTAAAGCCCAACATTAGCCGCCTTTAGCTTAGCGGTGGTGACGTGAAGTCATGTGACCGTGCTGTAGTTTCTTTATAGCCTAAAGTTAGCTTCTTTTTTTTTTAAATCATAAAGTGGTGTTAATATGTGGAGATAATTTTCTGCAGTGATCCAAAATCCAATGGAGAAATCCTATTTGCTATTTGTGGAGGGATCTAGCAAGATGCTAACTTTGTGAACTTAAAATGACCTAACGTTTTGTTTCTTTCTTACCGAGTTGAGGGTCTGTGCACTGGTGGGTCTCTGAGGAGTGTTCGGGACACTCTGAGCTCCTCTTCCTCCGAGCCAGGTAGAAACCCATCCTGTGACACCGTGACGACCGTCGTCCTCCAACATCTGCACACAGAAGTTTAGGATTATTTAAACACTTACACACAAACATAACAAATAACAGACAGTGCTGGAACATGCAGAAACCAGACAGGGATGTTCGAAGCCTCCACCTAAATAATGTTAATTCATTGAGTTAATATCCCTATCCTTATTTTAGATGAACAGTTTTTTTTTGTTCAGGTTCAGGAATTCGATTCCCTTAAATCTAACCGAAAATCCAGGTGCAGAAATTTGAGACAAATCCTTTTTATGATCTCAGAAGGAATATAGTCTCCAAATGATCATAAAACACCTCGTAAATGTATGAATAAGTACATGAAATACAGAATGAAGTGATGAAAAGTGAACATTACAGTCTTATAAAGTTTGTTCAGGCTTTTTTTGTCATTGTTCTTCTGTTTCCAAAGAGGCGGTAAGATTATTTCCCTTTAAAATTGATTTCCTTTCCGTCCGCCACCACTTTCTGGACACATATTTTGTGTACCCACTAACTACTTGAGCTCATACACAGAAGGAAACTCCAGAATTTATTATCCTCAATTTTTTTTAGAATCTTTCTTCCTTTCATAAGGCAGCAGATCCACTGAATCTGAAATATGGTCTGTTTTTGTGGGACACTTGGCTGCGGTAAACATGAGTAGAGTGGAAAAATCTAAATAGCAATAACAGGACATGAGGGAGGGCTTAAAAAGAAATAAGTGGAACGACCTCCGACACAATTAATATGGCTCTTCTGAGGAGATTTAATCGCATTTGTGTGTCTCTGTTTTGCTTTAGCAGTGTTGGGTAATCGCTGGCCGGAGTCCCACAGGGCAGGAGGTCTGGATGAGGAAACACTTTCTGTTTGTGAGCACCGAGAGGATCTGCTGGAGTTAAAAGTCACAGCTCAAAAGTAAAATGTAGTGACAATTAGTCTCTCTTTTAGCAAGAGTAAGCCTGCCTACTTTTATTGTCATTATCTTTTAGTTTGTCCATGCTGTTATGCTTTTATTTTTTAATTAAAGGGGCCCTACTGTGCTCATTTTCAGATTCATATCAGTATGTAGTGTCTCTACTTTAAAGAGTCCTCTCCTGCTGATGTTCAGGTGTATATCAGTATGTAGTGTCTCTACTTTAAAGAGTCCTCTCCTGCTGATGTCCAGGTGTATATCAGTATGTAGTGTCTCTACTTTAAAGAGTCCTCTCCTGCTGATGTTCAGGTGTATATCAGTATGTAGTGTCTCTACTTTAAAGAGTCCTCTCCTGCTGATGTTCAGGTGTATATCAGTATGTAGTGTCTCTACTTTAAAGAGTCCTCTCCTGCTGATGTTCAGGTGTATATCAGTATGTAGTGTCTCTACTTTAAAGAGTCCTCTCCTGCTGATGTTCAGGTGTATATCAGTATGTAGTGTCTCTACTTTAAAGAGTCCTCTCCTGCTGATGTTCAGGTGTATATCAGTATGTCGTGTCTCTACTTTAAAGAGTCCTCTCCTGCTTATGTTCAGGTGTATATCAGTATGTAGTGTCTCTACTTTAAAGAGTCCTCTCCTGCTAATGTTCAGGTGTATATCAGTATCTAGTGTCTCTACTTTAAAGAGTCCTCTCCTGCTAATGTTCAGGTGTATATCAGTATCTAGTGTCTCTACTTTAAAGAGTCCTCTCCTGCTAATGTTCAGGTGTATATCAGTATCTAGTGTCTCTACTGGGACATGTCTTCATGCTTTAATGTTCAAAAAGCTCTTTATTTTTCTCATACTGCCTGTGCTGCAGCACCTCTTTTCACCCTCTGTCTGAAACCAGAGCCCAGTCTGCTCTGATTGGTTAGCTGGCTGGCTCTGTTGTGATTGGTCAACCGCTTAGAGATGTCCCGCCTCTTAGCCTATCACGTACAATGTGTTAGAGCGGTAGCCAGTAGGAGCTAGAGTGTTCCTCAGTGATCTCAGTCCAATGGAGGCGTAACCTTTCAACCTAATATTCTCTAAAAGTAAGAACTCTTACCTACTAGGGCTGCAAATGGCAATTATTTATTTGTCAATGTTTTTAGCAGTTTATTTAATATATTCATCTTTCGACTAATAAAACGTCAGAACATTTTGTAAATTGTCCATCCCAGTTTCTCAAAGTTCAAGGCGATGTCTTTAAAGGTTGTGTGTTGTCACTCAAACCCAAAGATATCCATTATTTCTGCGTAGAGATATGATAATGAGGAACCTCTCACCTTGTCCACGTCTTCTCTGCTCAGCCCCAGCACACTTCCCATGAGCCTCAGCACGTCGGCACGTTTGTCCTTGTGTGTGTGGAAGTATCCCAGGAACAGGTTACGCATCAGGACTCTGGAAACACAATGAAACAGCCGGAATATTATTAATATTATTATTTTCAATGTATTATTTTAACATTTATATGGGCAGATTTATTTTACATTTTTATGTTTTTTTCCTTTTGATTTTTTATTATTATTTAATGTTTTTTGCTTTTAAAAAATGTCTAAAAAACCTTCGGATTTAAGGCATTTGATGGAAGGATTCTTTGTCCGTTTTATTTTTAATAAAGGAGTCTGTATTTGTACATGTACAGACAAACCAAGTCAACACATTTAAAGTATTGCAAAATAATATGACTTAAAACTTCCCCACATTTGTACATTTGTTTAATTTATTACTATAATATACGATAAATATACTTTTTTTTCTCAAAAAATTATCCCTTTCTATACTTTTTGGCAGTAAACCAGTAGCTTTTTTAATGTTTTATGTAACTTGAGAAACACTTAAAGATAGGGTAGGTAAGAATGGAGAAACCAGCTCGAGTGCGCTAGAATTTGAAAGTACACAACCGGAAAAAATCTGCCCCTTCCTTCAGACTTCCTTACAGAGCCCCTCCTCCAACACACACGAACGCGCACATGACCAATGAGGGCACGAGATAAGTTTGTGCACAGATGGAAGGCTGACAGGCAGGTAGGCCATCCAGTTATTTTAGCCGGGCCGGCTCAGATGATTGGTCGTGCTTTTTACAGCGCCACGGCTTCCACAGATGAAATGTTTTAATGTATTTATTGTCAAAGCATTTAATGCATTCATTGCTATCGGGATGTTAAGAGCATTCCATGGAATATAACAAGTGTTTCTGAAATGAATTACCTACCCTACCTTTAAGCCTTAATTTTATCAAAGAAATTCAATATGTCCATATTTGGATGATTTTCTTTGCCTCTTTGTGAGAGATTACTGCAGTAAGAGATGTGATTCCTTCGTGTCATAACATAAGATAAAGACAAAACCTCATCACATATTTATGCTGCAGTTAGACTTTGTAAGATTCCTTGAAACTGTGGGAGAGACATAATGAAAACCAAAGGTGTTGTTGAACAAAATCGTATTAAAAGTAAATAAAAGAGAGAGAGACTTACTTATCAATCTTCCCCTCCGTGCTGTTCAGAAGACTCATCAGTTTCTGCTGCACCTCGTCCAACATCTCCTGTCTTATTTCCACTGAGAAACACACAGTGAAAAATATGTTATATTGAACTTTTTAATATTAGATTATTTTTGTAGTATCATTAATTTAGTGTTAAAGGTCCCATGTCATGCTTTTCCGGTTATTACCCGTCCCCTTGTGTGTTATGTAGCTTTTTCTGCATGTAAACGGTCTGCAGAGTCACAAACCCTCAAAGTACACCCTGTAGGGAGTAAAACTCTAACACAGAAAAGACCTGTCTATGCTGCCCCAGAACGCCTCGTTGGAGATTTCTCTTTTTCCATTTGTTTCTTCCGGGAACCAAGTGAGTCTGTGTGTGAGCACACACACACAGACTCACAGCCAGGCTGCGGGTGTGTGTGTGCTCGGGCTGGTTTCGGGCTGGGTTTCGCGCTGGGTTTCGCTGTGTCTCGCTGTCTCGCCGACCCCACGCAGCAACCAGGAAACCACACCAGTAAGCGAGCTCACACTGTCCGCTCCTCGCAGCAGCGAGCCTCGCAACGTCCCGCCAACACGGCACCCAGACCCCACGCAGCATTCTCATCTGTTTGTCCTTACTGGTGTCATTTTCTGGTTGCTAACAAACGCCATTTAAACACATAATCACTGATGTTCCGCTGTAACGGTGGACTCATCAGAACAGAGTGGGCGAGCTGACCAATCAGAGCACAGTGGGCTCATAGGGAGGGGGGGGGCAGGAGCTCCAACAAGGTGTGTAGGACAGAGAGTGAATACACATACTATACAGAGATGCTGTATGAGAAACCAATGTGATTTTGGAACATTGAACAATGTAAATCTATTCTAGTAGACCTCAACAATGGAATTATGATCAGTAGAAATGGCCATGACATGGGACCTTTAATACATGATACAAAGCCATCGCCATCCTCTGACTGCTGAGATATTCTCACGCTGACTATAAATAGAGTGAATGTAAACTCTCCATACAGTAGGTGATTGATTCGTAATGTAAATGCATGACTTCATATATCTGGACTCAACGAACACAATGTCTGGAAAGCCGTCTGAGAATTTGCTCTGAAGTAACAGCCAAATGTGAGAGTGATAAGAGTGACATCTGCACAGAAATAATAAAACAGGAGAACCTGAAGCGCGGCAGAGACCAGGTTTACTTCTCTCTGTTATTCTGACTACGATAAGGACACACTAGAATAAAAACATGAGCAGGGAAGAAATAATAAGACGTCGATATTCAAAGGCCAGGAAAATGGCAGCAAATGCATTCCTTAATATCTCAAATAAACATTAATCAGAATATGTCACTTATCCAGGATGGGAATTGGGTTTTGGGAAAGTTGCTCCATTTGAGAATAGAATAAAATGAAAGATCCATTAAAAAAAGAATTCAACTATTTATTTAAACAAAAGAAGGTCAATTAAGAATGTGTAATAAAAGGAAAAATAGAATACACACATGATAGGATACAATCATAGAGAGAGATAGATAGATAGATATAGAGATAGATAGATAGATAGATAGATAGAGATAGATAGATATAGAGAGAGATAGATAGAGATAGATAGATAGATAGATAGATAGATATAGATAGATATAGAGAGAGATAGATAGAGATAGATAGATAGATAGATAGATAGATAGATAGATAGATAGATAGATAGATAGATATAGAGAGAGATAGATAGATAGATATAGAGATAGATAGATAGATAGATAGATATAGAGAGATAGATAGATAGATAGATAGATAGATAGATAGATAGATAGAGAGAGATAGATAGATATAGAGAGAGATAGATAGATAGATAGATAGATAGATAGATAGATAGAGAGAGATAGATAGATATAGAGAGAGATAGATAGATAGATATAGAGATAGATAGATAGAGATAGATAGATATAGAGAGAGATAGATAGATAGATAGATAGATATAGAGAGAGATAGATAGATAGATAGATGGATACATAGATATATAGAGAGAGAGATAGATAGATGGATAGATGGATAGATAGATAGATGGATAGATGGATAGATAGGTACTAGTCAAAGACATTTCTTTTACTGTTACCTCGTGAATATTTGTAATCTACTTTATAAATGTCAGAAGTTTATAAGGAGTGCTGTCAGATGTTTCCCTCTGAGGAGCAGATGTTGGCAGGTGAAACACACCTGGCTGAACCTCACCTTGTTTCTTCAGCTCTTCCATTTGTTCCTCATTCAGGTCCAGCTGATCGCTGAGGCGAGACGCCGACTCCAGAGCAGCGCTGGCTTCATCCAGGTTAATCTGAGAGAGAGGGAAACACCAACAATAAATACACCTTTTTAATAATGACTGCAACTTCAGTTACATTTTTAGATTGAAACTCCGTCTGGAGGGAACACAAGAGCCTTTGCAGACCATTTACATGCACTAAAACCCTCTATAACACACTACAGCAGCGGCTCCCAACCTTTTTCAACTCAGGGCCCACTTAAGAATCTAAAAAATGTTCGCGGCTCACATTCAACCATAAACAATACGGAGGCTAAATAAAGTTCTCAGAGTACTTTTTATTTTAATTAGAAAAGGAGCTGGCTATCAGTAACAAACAGACATTTGTATTACACGGTTTAGTTGAATACTCGATTCTGATTGGTCAATTCAGAACATGTGACACGTTGTTAATCCAGTAGAACAGACCGCTGTCAATGTCCGTTGCTAAGGAGGATCAAGAAACAGAAAGGAAAAGAGGTTCAAATAAAAAAAACAAATCTTAATAATGAAATGTTTCCACACAAATCATAATGTTTTGCAAATTATTTGGCGGGCCACTTGCAATGCCTTCGCGGACCACTAGGGAGCCGCGACCCACAGGTGGGGAACCGCTGCACTACAGGAAAGGGAAAACTTAAAAAAGCATAATAGGGCCTTTTTAAGAAATATGTGTTTGATGTGCGGCGTTGCTGTTGGAGGCATAAGTAGACATTTGAGATACACACAATCTTTGCTTGTTCATTTTCTTCATATCATCCACTACACCCCAAAATATTGTACTTTTCTCCATGTACTTGACTTCTCAAGTTACTGATTACTTTAAAAATGATGACTTTTCCATACAAAATAAATACCACAGACTTGTCAAATATGATGTTTTAATGTATTTAATTACAGATGAAAACACTTTGTAGGAAAATAAAGTTGGCTATGATTAAAAAATATCCATTTAATGTATTTTTTTGTAAAAAAGCATTTCATAGTTCCAGCTTAAGAAATGTGAAACTTTGCTTATACTTCTATTATTTGTAATTGAGTATCATGCTAAATGCAGGACTTTTACTTGTATCTGAGTATTTTGTGTTATATTAGTACATTTGCTTTCGTTAAGGGTCCGAGTACTTATGTTGCGGGATATAATTAAATGAACATATCTGATTTGTTTGTTTGTTTGTTTACCTGCAGGGAAGATGCTTGGTCATGCAGCCTCTCAGCTTTCCTCTTCCACTCGTCCTTCTCCTTCTTCAGCCTGTCGAGCTCTGAAGAGTACATCGCTTTCTCCTCTGATGGGGAACAACACAATTACTACAGGTAGTAAGGGATTTACAAAGTGAAAATGACAATAACAAATGAGGAACATTTATAAACAACATCAAGGTATAAACAAACAGAAAGAGTTATATCACCGAACCATAAAACAATAAAACATGAACAGTGATACTACTAAAAGAAAAATGATAATAATGCACAAGTCTTCACCAGACTCAGGGACAGTTAAACACCTGAACTTTTGAAAGAACATTCATCTGTTTGCAACTTACACATTATTTATCTAATGTAACATATTCCAATTACTTGTATATAGACTCTCCTTGCACTATTTCTATTCTATTTGTATTACTTGCACTATTTTGTCTGTTTTATTATGTTGCACTGTTGGAGGAGTCTCTGACCTGAGATTTCCATTGACATATCTACACTGTAGCTAATGTACAAATGACAATAAAAGCCTTGAATCCTCTTCATGGTGAATGGACTTGCCTTGCTGAAACTGCTCCAGCACCATCTGCAGGTTGGACAGCGACACTGCGTACTGGTTGACCTGCTCCTGGGACGTCCTGAGGTGGATCAGAGCGTCGTCTCTCTGCTTCACCGCTCCACTCAGCTGCTCCTGCAGAGACTCCACCTGCATGCTGGCCTGTTGGCTGCAGGAGAGAAACTGGACTTCAACTATTGTATATATATATATATAAACTTCATTTAATGCCGTTATCTCATTGAAATCAAGACCCGAGAACACCTGGTAGACAACAGAGATAGCATTAAAATGAAAGACAAGAAAAGTAGTTTTGAGGGTAAAGACAATGGTTGATATACAAATATGAATTGGGCTCCACCAGAGGAAGTTCAGCAGTTATCAGCCTCAGTTAAGGGTTAATAATCATAGATGTAAGCAGAGCAGCTATTAAAGAAATAAGCAACACAATCCTTCAAACTAGTCTGGTGGTTAAACACAGAAACTTAACCATCTGTAGGTATGGGAAATCAAATATCTCTAACTTCGATTTTGCACCTATGTTGTACGGTTAACTAAATATGAGTGCTTCCACAAAACATTTACACATAAGACTTTTGAATTATAATGATCAGTGAAGTTAAATGACATGTATTTACTGCATGCAGTGTTTATAGCAAGGAAATGACACGTATGTACACAAATATAATATAAGAAAATCGATGTATTGCCCAGACCTAGTTTTACAGTGGAATTAAATGTTTTGACATACGCCCAACTAAATAATCTTCAGTATTTCAGGTTTTTATTTGTATTTAATTCTTGGTTGATGCTGACCTGGACTTCTCCACAGCGCTGGAGGACGATGCCAGCCTCTCGTCCAGCAGGTTGACTCTCCTGCGCAGCTCGCTCTCTCGGTCCTCCGCAGCGAGAGCTTCTCTGGTGTACGAGTCCTCGATGTCCAGCAGGTGGTTACGCAGCCTCTCCAGCTCCAGGTTCAGACGCTGCTCTTTGTCCCGCACGTGCTGAAGCTGTGGGAGGAAACGGAGACATCCTGACATGAGGAGAGAGTCGAGAATACCGCGGTACTTTGAGGACTTTTTCCTGCATGCTTAAATCTGCTTTACGAACATTTTGAGTTTCGAGTTTTGGTTCAGGACAGTATGTATTAGGGATGGGAATTTGAAAGCAAAATTATATTTGAATATTTGACCCCCAAAAAAACGGTTAACCGAATATTCGAAATGTACACATACATATATTGTTTAAAGTGGACCTATCATGCTATTTGTAGGCAATAGCATAGGTCTCAGATATATACAAATATATAAAAAACATGTCTATGAAGTGTTTTGCTCAAAATACCAAACAGATCACCCATTCTAGCCATGCCTCATATCACTCTATTTCACTTCCTGTTTCAAAAGTGCTGATTTGGGGTATAAAGCTTTAAAAAAAAGAAGAAAGAAATTCATACAAAAAAAAAGGAGGGGCTGAGCTCATGTGGGACCCGGCAGCTACTGTCTAAACTAAATACTGCCGTGATGAAACGCCATATCATGGATTATCAAGGATTATTTCTGAAACAGTATGGAGCTCAAAGGCTTTCTCTCTTGCCGGTTATACCACAAGGTGAGTTCCTTTTTATTTCCTGCTTCTTCACACACATGCTCTCCAGTACAGGTTAGCTCTGAGTGTTAGCGATGCTAATGTAAACACCGACCATATTACGTCCAAAACAGACGGGCATTGTTTCTGATAGCAACGTTTCTGATAGGGCCGTGGGTCCACATTTCAGATGTTACGTCATATCGGACGCTAATCTGGATCAGCTCCGTTGTAGCCCCGTTTTTAGAGATTTGGGTACGGAGGAAAAGAGAGAGGGTTTTACTTTCTGTAAATGTATAAAAGACATCAAAAAGTGCATTTTGCATGATAGGTCCCCTTTAAATGTTAAAATGTAACATTACACATGTTTTTGTTTTTTAAATATTTTTCTTAAGATATTTAAAATGGCACTGTCGTATACATTGAATGAATCCATTTGATAACATGTAATCAACTTAGGCACCCCTCAACATTTTGAATATTTGATGAATCATTCTCATCCCTAGTATGTATAATGGTATGTAACTGTACATCAATACGAGTAAAGCTGCAACCATGAGTTGACCAACTATTATGATAATTGATTAATTGTTAAAGCAATTTTTCATGCAAAATTGTTAGACATTTTTCTTTTCAGTTTCAGTCAGTTTCTCTGCCTTTATCCATTTCATATCCTATTAAGGAAACATATGCATCCCATCAGATTCAACAAAATGTGATATCCTTCCTCATACCTCGGTTTGCACTGCAGTGGTCGCCATCTGTTTCTGCTTCAGCGCCATCATCACCTGATCCCTCTCATGCTGGAAGGCCACAGCTTTGTCCTGCATGGACTTCAGCTCGTTCAGCAGCTGGTTCAGCTCTCCTGACTTACCCTGCGTCACATCATCAGCAGAGGGAAGCACATATGTAAATATTTGAAAAGAACTAAAGAACACCACAGTATGCAGAGTATCATTAAAACACTTGAATGTTGGAATCTTGCTTTTCAGGAATACTTCAACCCAAAATGATGTCCATAACTCTGCCTGTGTCTACTTGAATTGTTGAATAAACGTTGTGTTTTAAAATGTGTTAAAACACAACACACTTAAAGGTAGGGTAGGTAAGTTTGAGAAACCGGCTCGAGATACACTTTTTGTTATATTCCATGGAATGCTCTTAACATCCCGATAGCAATGAATATCTTAAGTGCTTTGACAAAAAATCCATAAAAAAATGTCATCTGTGGAAGCCGTAGTACTGTAAAAAGCACGACCAATCATCTGAGCCGGCCCGGCTAAAATAACTGGATGGCCTACCTGCCTGTCAGCCTTCCATCTGTGCACAAACTTATCTCGTGCCCTCATTGGTCATGTGCGCGTTCGTGTGTGTTGGAGGAGGGGCTCTGTGAGGAAGTCTGAAGGAAGGGGCAGATTTTTTTCGGTTGTGTACTTTCATATTCTAGCGCACTCGAGCTGGTTTCTCCAAAATGACCTACCCCACCTTTAAATGAAAGAGAAACAAAGTGGGAAGTCTGCAGCGAACTCACCTGCTCTTTGTCTTTGAGCATCCTCTCCACGGTTGCACTCTTCTCGCTCACTGCCGTCAGCTCGAACTCCTTCTCTCTGAGCAGCAGTGAGAACTGCATGTTGGTTTCCTGCAGCGCTCTGAACTCGGACTCCTTCTCTCGAGAGCGCGACACCACAAGCTCGTTCTCCTCCTTCAGCTGCCTCCCGTCCAGCTCCAGGATCAGAGCGCGCTCCTTCAGGTTGGTCACGGCCTGCTTCAGCACCTCGTTATCGTTCTCGCGGTTTCGCAGCGCCTCACTGACGTTGCCCAGCTGGTCTCCTTTGCTTTTGATGAGCAGGTCTTTCTCCCTGACGGACCTCTGCAGGGCCTCCAGCCTCTCTTTGACCAGCCGCACCTCCTCCAGCCGATTCCTCTGCTCGCTCTCTGTGTCCGACGCCGAGTTGGACAGCCGGTGGTTGTTCTCCTGGAGAGTCCTGATCATGTGTTCCTTCTCAGCCAACTGACTTCGCAATCTGGTGATTTCTTCCCGCAGTTTCTCACTACTTAATGTCGGAGGAGTCTGCTGGCTTGGAGCATCAGCTACGCCTTCTGGAGTCAGAGCTACGCTGTCCAGTTTACCCAGCAGCACGTCTTTAGTGGTGCTGAGCTGCGAGATGCTCTGCTGCACCTGAGCCAGCTCCTGACTCAGACTCCCGAGCCTCCTCTCCTTGTGCTCGTAGCTCTGGATCAGCCCGGCGTAATCCACGGACAGCTTGGAGGAGCAGTCGCTGTCGGCAGAGACCTGTCCCTGCAGCTTCATCAGCTCCTCCTGCAGCTGCGCAGACTCGTGCTGCATGTTCTTCACCGTGGTGATCACCTGCTGCTTCCACTCCTCCATCTTCTTCACCTGTTGCTTCAGAGTGTCTCGCTCCTGCAGCAGCTCCTCGAACTGGTTGCTGCTCACGCCTCCGGACCCCCCGCCGTTCTCTCCTCCCGACGCCTGAAGCACCGCCACCAGCGTCTGGCACTTCTGCGTGAGCGCGTCGATTTCGATGTCTTTCTCTCGGATGATGCGCGACAGGTTCTGGATGGTCTCCTTGAACATCTCCTGGCTTCCCGAGGGATCGCTCATGGTGGAGAGGCGCTGGTTCTCCTGCTGCAGCTTCAGCAGCGCCGCCTCCTTCCCCTGGATGATGTCCATGAGGCGGTGATAGTCGGAGCGCAGCTGGCTGTTCTCCCTCGCCTTCTCGTTGAGCACGGCGATCACCTGCTCCCTCTCCACAGCGTACGCCTGCAGCTGCTGCTGGAGGTACATGACGTCCTGGCTGTGGCCGCCTCCAGACGCCATGGACACACGAGCATGCAGCGCCTGGATCTCCAGGTCCTTCTGCAGGATCATCTGAGACAGTTTCCCTGCCTCCTCCCGGGAAACCACCAGTTGATCCAGCTGTCGGGTCAGCGAGATGTTCTTCTCGTTCAGCTGGCTGATCTCCGTCTCCTTCTCCTTGATGCCTCTCACCAGCTTGTCTATTTCCACCTTGGACAGGTCGTGTTTCTCGTTGTCGTTCTCTTGATTCAGAGTCTGGCTCTTCTCCTCGTGCAGGATGACGTCTCCCTGCACAACGGGGGAGTGCACTCGACTCTCGCTGAGCTGATCCTGGAGGCGGGATATCTCCTGGTCTCTGGCGTGGATCAGCCGGTCGTAGTTGAGTGTCGTCTGCTGATGGCGAGCGTGAGCCTGCTCCAGCTCCGTCTGCTGAGCCTGTAAGGACTGCTGCGACAGCAGCACGGAGGCCTGCAGCTCCTCCGTGGTCCTCCTCAGAGTCTGCAGCTCCTCTTCAAGTATATTCCTGGACACCTTGAGCTGTGTGATCTCCGTCTCCAGCTCTGTGATGATGTCTAAAGTCCGCGGCTCGGTCAGAGGTTGAGGTCTGCTCTGCTGATCCCCGATTCGGTCGATCTCCTCTTTCAAATGGCTGTTCTCCTCCTTCATGCCTCCCAGCTGTTTATCCTTCTCCTCCAGCGCCAGTTTCAGAGCATCCGCCTCCTTCTTCACGACTGAGATACTGTTCTGCATCTCCTTCTGCAGATCTGATGCGTTCTGTTTCAGCGTGTCCATGAAGACGTCCTTCTCCTGCAGCAGATCCGTCAGCTGCTTCTGCCCGGCGACAGTGATGGAGAGCATCTCGTTGGTGTCTCTGTGGTCGGACGCCTGCTGCTCTGCGTCTCTCCTCAGCTGAGCGACCTCCAGGTCTTTGTCCTGGTTCAGTTTGACGGCTCTCTCGTGCTCCATCTGTAGAGCGGAGGCGTCCATGGAGCGAGCTCTGCTCAGCTCCTCGATGGTCTGCTGGTATTGTTTCGCCTGCTGTGCCAACGTCCTCTCCACCTGCCCCAGCTCTCCCTCCAGCTGACTTTTCTCCAGCTTCAGAGCCTCGATACGAGTGTCCTTCTCCCGTAACGTCCTGCTCAGAGCTGCCTGGCTTTCCTTCTGCTGCTTGGTCAGTTCTTCACTTTTCCCCAGAGCCTGCTCACTCTCTTCCTTCAACCTTCTGTTCTCCATCTTTAACTCATAATCCTCCGACAGCGCCTTCTCCTGAGAGCTCCTCAACTCGTTTAATTCTCTCCTGAGGTCGGACAACTCCCTCTCCTTCGCTGCTACCTTCTCATCACTTCCCTGCGCTTCACTTCCCGTCTCTCTCTCCTCATCCAGCGCTGCTTTTGCACCAGATAACTGTTCCTCTCGCTCCCGCAGAGTCTTCTTCAGCTCTGTGATTTCTCTCCTTGCCTCCTTGCTCTGCCCATGTGCATTTCCCAGTTTGTCCTTCAGCTCCTTCACCGAGCGCTCCAGCTGCTGTTTGCCCATATGCAGGTCGTTCAGGGTGAAGGCGCTCTGGCTCGCTTTCTCTTTTTGGTTCTCCAGCTCTTCCTCCAGCGCTCTCCTCTGGTCTTTGGTTGTGTTCAGCTCTGCAGACAGAGAGGACAGCTCTGCCTCGGCCTCCTTCAGCTGAGCAGAGAGCTGCTCCTTCACAGAGATCATGTGCTGGAGACAGAAAACATTGAAACAAAACACAAATATGTAAATATTCCATTTTTTTCTTATTGTGAAGGATTCCTACATATTTTCCTTTTTAAATGAGTTGTTTTTTCAGATTTTCTCTTTATTTTTTATATATTTATTGCTCAACATGGACGCGTTCACGATGTCTTCATTCATTAAAAACTCAATATGCCAAATACGAAAGGAGTAAGTTAGTCCTAGGCGCTTTCACACCGCAGTACTTTTCCCACAAAGGTTCATCAGAACTTATGACTTATTCCGGTGTGAACGCGATCTGTACGTTCATGAGAACTAAAGAGTTCTCATGAACTAAGTACAGATCGCGTTCACACCGGAATAAGTCCCTGAGGGAGGATTGGGCAAATGAAGCCGCTGACGTCACTTCTTCTTCTTCTGCTTTGGGTTTACTGGCAGGCCGCAAACCACTTCACGGCGTATACTGCCACCCGAAGTCCCCGGCCGGAAGTCCCCGGAGTTGGGGACTGGCTTCAGTAGAAGCTGCTGGGACTCCCAGCAGCTTCTACTGAAGCCTTCAGAGTAAATCGCCAGAACGCCGACACCTCCTCATCTCCACCGCTCCCATGTTTTATTTTGTGTTGCCATAAGTTAGTCTCTCTCCGTTGGTGCGCGGGGCTAATGCTAATGCTAATGCGAGGATAATAAAATGGCGGCTTCACAAAACTTTTTGGGAGTTTTACGGGGCGTGGTTTGCAATCCGCCCAGCCAATCAGACATAGGAACCTTTTTCTCCCACGAAAGTACCTGCTCTCTAGCAGGGACGGAAAAGGGGGTAAAAAGGTTCTCATGAACTAAGTTCTAGTTCCGGCTCTTTTTGGTGTGAACGCAACATTTTGGAACTAAAGTGGGAAACGTACTGCGGTGTGAACGCGCTTCATCATTTCACACGTTAATATCACCACAATGTGGGAGATCTTAGTAAGTTTAAAGTCCTAAACATTTCTATTCTTATGCACATGGAATGAGATATTTCTCATTTTTATAGAGTCTGTAAAGGATCAAATACAGGCAACACTTTATACTGATAGTAGTAAAGAAATACAAATAGTTTGTAACATTTTAACAGTTTGGTTGGCGAGATTCTTTTATTATTATTATTCTATATTGATCAATAATCAGTCCTCTGTGTTGAGTCTGACCTGTGTTGCTTCCTGGTTCTGCCGGTCCAGTTCCTCCAGCTCAGACATCAGAGTGTCCCGCTCCTCCTCGGTGTTCCTCAGAGCTTTCTCTCTGCGCTGCAGCTCCAGCTTCAGATCCTCCACGAACTCCTGAGGTTCACCGGACTCAGCTGCTGCAGAACTGCTGCCTCTCTGATCCTCTGACAATCCAAGTCTTTCTTCTAGATCAAGCTGTGAAAAGACACACAAAAGAGAATAACACTTTAGGATATATTTGTAATCAAATCAATCATAACATTACATTACATTTAGCTGACGCTTTTATCCAAAGCGACTTACAATAAGTGCATTCGACCAAGAAGATACAAACTTGAAGAAAACACAATCATATAAGTACATCAGGTTTCATAGAGCCAGAACATTTCAAGTGCTACTGAACTGGTTTTAGATAAGCCAGTCCTTTGTTAGTATATAAGTGCTTTATTAGCAATTCTATCGCTCGAAGTGGAGTCAAAAGAGATGAGTTTTCAGTCTGCTCCGGAAGATGTGTAAGCTTTCTGCTGTCCTGATGTCAATGGGGAGCTCATTCCACCATTTTGGAGCCAGGATAGCAAACCCACGTGTTTTTGCTGATGGGAACTTGGGTCCCCCTCGCAGTGCGGGTGCAGCGAGCCGTTTGGCCGATGCAGAGCGGAGTGCACGTGCTGCCAGTTTAACCATGTCCTGGATGTAGGAAGGGCCAGATCCATTCACAGCATGGTATGCAAGTACCAGTGTCTTGAAGTGGATTCTAGCAGTTACTGGAAGCCAGTGAAGGGAGCGGAAGAGCGGCGTGGTGTGGGAACATTTAGGAAGGTTGAAGACCAGACGAGCCGCTGCATTATGGATGAGCTGCAATCCATTATTTCTCAGTTATCTAGACTACATATGTAATAATATCCCATTATTAGCAGTGCATGAGGAACCAGCAAGATTAAGAAAGACATGTTTTTGACTGAGTTCTGACTTTTACTATATTACACCAATGCTAGAAAACACACACACATTTCCTTTTTGAGCATCCCGTGGTTGAAATAATAATGTAATAATAAGTTTGCATCAGATAAACAAACCTTGTCTTGTTCCAGGACTTCCCTTTCTTGTCTCAACGTCCCGATGATGGTGTTCAGCTCTAAGATGTCTGCATGCTCGACTTCTTCCTTTGGTTCTGCCTATTTAAGCAAAAGGAAAAGTTAGAGAAGTCGTTAAACTTGGGGGTTAAATCATGAGAACCTACCACTTCATACGTTATAAATATTTAAAATATGTATGGTTAGTGATTTATATTCATGCTTACCTCATCAAGATTTTTCAGTCCCTCAATTTCTTTTTCTGCAGCTGGAAAGGAGACAATTTAATTAATAATAATGTACAAAACAAACAATACTGTGCAATTATTCAGGTGTACAATAATCAAATAATTAAGGATTATTAATATATTACACTTTACACTTGGAGCAATAATCAAATACTAATACACAACTGTATAAATTGTAATATACTAATTTCTTCACATTTCTATTGTATTATTATTGTAGTGCATATTTTTATTTTTACAGCACATTTGAATTATATTTTAACATGAAGCCTGACACCGAGTTTCCCCCCAGGATAAATAAAGTATTTCTTATTAAATCCCAAATAATTTTTAAAGCACAAAAAAACGTTGGCAATCTTCTTTGTCCATGCAATATTTATGTGCGATTACTACAATCCAAATCAATCATTTTTACATAAGTTAACACCATCAGCTTTAATAAAAGAGACTTCCTGACGGCATTGAGTAGCTTTCATTAATTAACTCAGTAGCTATATTCAGCATGAATTAAAATAATGCCAGTGTACCTGTGAGCTTGTCTCTCAGCGCCTGGATCTCCTGCTCCAGCTGAGCTTTCTGCAGACTCTTGCCCTCCTGCTCCAGCACTCTGGTCTGCAGCTCGGTGACGGAGGTCTGCAGGCGGGTGTAGTTCTGCAGCAGCTCCGTGTTCTCCTCCTGAGCCTCGTCCTTCTCCTGCTGCAGAGACGCCTGTTTCCTCTGCGCCTCCTCCAGACCGGCAGACTTCTCCTGCAGCTGCTCCTCCCGCTGATCCGCCGCCTCCTGCAGAGCAACGACGGTCTGCTGGAGGTCCGACATCTTGGAGGCATCAGACGGGGAAGAGGCCGGACTCACACCTGCAGAGGAGGGTTTATTTTAGTTTTAAAGGTCACCTATTATGCAAAATCCACTTTTTCATGTCTCTTCTACATCAACATGTGTCCCCTCTTCTTCATGTCTCTTCTACATCAACATGTGTCCCCTCTTCTTCATGTCTCTTCTACATCAACATGTGTCCCCTCTTCTTCATGTCTCTTCTACATCAACATGTGTCCCCTCTGTGTAAAGAGATTCTGAAAGTTTCAGGAACAAAGATTCTCTCTCTTTTTGTCCTGATCCATTTATATAAAAACCTGTCTGAAAATGAGCTGATCAGATTTTGGCCACTTTGTGATGTCATAACGATGTTTTGGCTTGTGTAACCATTAGCCAATCACCAACCAAGGTAATAGGGGACCTTTAAAGCCATGATTTCCTCAGTAAAATCTCTGAATTCCTACACCTTCCATTAGTTAAATAATCCCAAACAGCAGCTCACCCCCGTGAATCTGCTCCTCCAGCTCCTCGATCCTCTCCTCGTACTCCGCTAAATCGTCCTTGTGTCTGCGGGTGATGTCGGACATCTTCTGCCGCTGAACGTCCTGCAGAGCCGTCAGCTCGTGTTGATGTTCGTCCACCTCTCGCCTCATCTCCTCGCGCAGATCCTGTCACAGAGCGGCAAAAACATCAAGGTTGTGAGACCCAGTACACTTGGTGCAAGATGTTGTTATGAAATTACTTAAAATCTGCATTCATTGAAAATGTGGCTACGGCAAAACAAACTATAAACACAGCACTTAGTAGAATATATATCTGAAGTCTGGTAATATGAGGAACCTCTTTCACATTGTCAATTAATAGCAGCTTAAGTTTCAGATTTAAAAAAAACTCACCTTGATAGTTCTTTGGAGTTTGAGGATCTCTCCCTGGTCGCCGTTACCCGTTCCTGTTGCTGTTGATGCCTAGAATAATATAAAACAACAAGATCTTGTCAGGAACACAAAAACAATAAAGTTTTTGTTGATATTCAATTCAAGTTTATTTTCACGTATATGAAACTGTACGGCTGCGCATTACCTTTTTCATGTTTGTTTATCAAAGTGTTTTATATAGCAACTCTCATGCATGTGGTACCAAAACTGCTTGTCGTGTTTCAGACAACTTAAAAAATATATATTATTTTCACTAAAGCACATTACAGGTTGTTTATCTTATTTTATCCATTTTCTTTTCTATATTTATTGTGTGTTTTGTGTTTGGTTAGCACATGTGTATCACTTTTGTTTATTTCATCGTTGACTTCTGATTAAAAGTATATAACAACAACAACAAAATCTGTCAATATATAATAAATATAGTCTGGAAAAATGTAAACATTTGGGTCTTTTTGGGGGCTAATTGATTATAGAAATGTGACACCCTTTAATATTTTATTTGGGCTTTTAGATGAAGACCGCACACAGTTAATAAATACAACTATTCTTCTGGCTACAAAACATATTTTGAAAAGTCAATCAAGGAGTAATCTTCACTTAAAGGTCACCTATCATGCTATTTTTAGGCAATAGCATAGGTCTCAGATATATACAAATATATAAAAAACATGTCTATGAAGTGTTTTGCTCAAAATACCAAACAGATCACCCATTCTAGCCATGCCTCATATCCCTCTATTTCACTTCCTGTTTCAAAAGTGCTGATTTGGGGTATAAAGCTTTAAAAAAACAAAAAGGAGGGGTCTGAGCTCATGCAGGACCCGGCAGCTACTGTCTAAACTAAATACCGCCGTGATGAAACGCCATATCATGGATTATCAAGGATTATTTCTGAAACAGTATGGAGCTCAAAGGCTTTCTCTCTTGCCAGTTATACCACAAGGTGAGTTCCTTTTTATTTCCTGCTTCTTCACACCCATGCTCTCCAGTACAGGTTAGCTCTGAGTGTTAGCGATGCTAATGTAAACACCGACCATATTACGTCCAAAACAGTCGGGCATTGTTTCTGATAGCAACGTTTCTGATAGCGCCGTGGGTGTAAAGCCAGCCTACGTTTCCGATATTACGTCATATTGGACGCAAATCTGGATCAGCTCCGTTGTAGCCCCGTTGTGGGATGTGGAGTTGGAGGAAAAGAGAGAGGGTTTTATTTTCTGACGCTGCGTGAGTTCCCCGACACACCGGGGACACATCTTTATGTATAAAAGACATCAAAAAGTGCATTTTGCATGATAGGTCCCCTTTAAGGTGTTTGAAGAGTAGATAAAAAATACAATTGGTGGCTCAACACGCCATGAAATGGGACATAATGAGCTCTAACGAAGAGTGGGATTAAAGGACAGGGTTCATACACTTTTTCACCAATGATTATCAATGACTTTTCCATGACCTTTACCTAATTTTCCATGACCAAAACAATTACTCTTTCTCAGCGGTACCACTGAAAATGGTTTATTTTAACATGGAACAGGAAAATAAGGTCTGCATCTGAAACATGTTGTGCCTATCTAAAACAAATCAAATAGACGGCTTACTAGCTTCTACACGCTAAAGCAACTAAACCAGCAAAACACCTCGACAGTTAAATGCCATTTTACGTTTCATTACTATTACTATACATTCATTATAGTATTATTATTTCGGCGATTAGATAAAATATAAATTATATTTGATGCAACTTTAGTTAAATTTCCATGACTTTTCCAAAACTTTGGGAAAAATATTGTTTTCCATAACTTTTCCAGGGCCTGGAATTAGCATTTTGAATTTCCATGACTTTTCCAGGTTTTTAATGACCGTAAGAACCCTGAAAGGAACAATAAATATGCTTCCCATGTTGTGTTTTTGGTGGTATTTGGTTGTCTACCTGTTGTTGTTTGTGAAGTGATCCTACTGACTGTATATTTATTTCTTCTGTTTTTGTTTTTGTTTTTTTGTCTGAGATGGGAATGTCATCTCCTATATGTTATTGTTATGTCCATGTTTGTGTCTTTAGCCTGTACAAAATAAAAATAAACGATTCCTGTGGCTGGATGAGCCAGTCCTGCTCCATTAGAAGTGAATAAGTGAACACTGCATCCTCATCATGATTACCTGAGAGATCCTCCTCCAGTGAGTCACCTCGGCCTCCAGACGCAGGACCTCATTGGACAGCCGGTTGATTTCCTGCTGAGACCACAGGACGTCGCTGAGGTCCATCTCGTCGCCGTGGAAACCCGAGTGTGTCCCCGAGGGCCGCGACAGGAAGGAGGAAGCAGAGGAGGAAGTGGTGGAGGAGGAAGTGGTGGAGACAGGAAGCATGGCCGGACCAACGGACGAGGACTGAGACGACTTCTGCAGAGTCTGAAACTCTTCGTGGAGACCGCTTTGCCGAGCCTTCAGGTGACTGATCTCCACCTGGGGAGACACCGAACATATTTTAGGGTTAGGGTCATAGAGAGGTGCAGGAATGAGTCCTAAAACCTGGAAATGAGTCAGCATTTTAGCTGGTCTCAGGATTTTGCATGTGTTTTTGGTTGTTAGCCTGAAATAAGGTCTGTTTAAATGCTGCACTTAGTTTTTTGCACGTCTATTATTTCCATTTGAAGGTGCTTTTGTGCAGGTCAATATTAGGCTACACTTATATATTAAGTATTGTTAATATAGGAAGGTTGCAAGAACAACAATATATTTATTAACAGCATTATAAGTATTTAATTTAATTGAAATGTAATCAGCCATGTGTGTACATTATGGCGGACACAATCAAAACTAAATACCTATTTTTTTCACGTCGTCTTTTATAGGGTTAAATAAAGTCATACATTTGATTAAATTATTTTATGCAGTCTTAAACGTCCACATATATTACACATTTATAGAGCAAACTACAATACTGAATTGTTTAAAGGTCAATGCATCATGGGTCCTTTATTACTGGACATTCTGTCATTGAATAAGACATAGGGATATGATTCATTTCTCTTTTGAAGGATATATTTGAACAACAAGTATTCTCTAAATGCAATAATCAATATCTAAAATGTACATACATCTTTCTGCTGCAGGAGGGATCTGTACTCCGCAGACTGGCTTTCAATCTGGATCTCTGAAGCTTCCAGTTTCTCCTCCAGCTCCGCATAAAGCATTCGTAATCTTTCATGCTGCAACACAAAAAAGAAAAGGGAGGAAGTCAGTAACACAGTTAGAAATGTAACATTCTTTTTTATCCGTTTAAAAGCAATGTAGTTAAAGGCCGCTGCAGCTGGATGAATGTTTTTTTTTTTTTTTAAATGATGTTAACCAACCTACAGACTAAGCCAGTGTTGGGCTATATTTCCTATTTTCAACACATGTTATTAAAAATTGATACTGACATCACTATGGAACACTCGTGCTTCTATTGGCTAGCGCTCCAACACATGATAGGCTAAGAGGCGGGACATCTCTAAGCAGGTTGACCAATCACAACAGAGCCAGCCAGCTAACCAATCAGAGCAGACTGGCTCTGGTTTCAGACAGAGGGTGAAAAGAGGTGCTGCAGCACAGGCAGTATGAGGAAAAATAAAGAGCTTTTTGAACATTAAAACATGGAGACATGTCCCAGTAGAGACACTACATACTGATATACACCTGAACATCAGCAGGAGAGGACTCTTTAAAGTAGAGACACTACATACTGATATACACCTGAACATCAGCAGGAGAGGACTCTTTAAAGTAGAGACACTACATACTGATATCACCTGAACATCAGCAGGAGAGGACTCTTTAAAGTTAGAGACACTAGATACTGATATAAACCTGAACATCAGCAGGAGAGGGACTCTTTAAGTAGAGACAATACATACTGATATACACCCTGAACATCAGCAGAGAGGACTCTTTTAAAGTAGAGACACTACATACTGATATACACCTGAAACATCAGCAGGAGAGGACTCTTTAAAGTAGAGACACCTACATACTGATATACACCTGAACATCAGCAGGAGAGGACTCTTTAAGTAGAGACACTACATACTGATATACACCCTGAACATCAGCAGGAGAGGACTCTTTTAAAGTAGAGACACTACATAATGATATACACACTGAAACATCAGCAGGAGAGGGACTCTTTAAAGTAGAGACACTAGATACTGATATACACCTGAACATCAGCAGGAGAGGACTCTTTAAAGTAGAGACACATACATACTGATATACACCCGGAACATCAGCAGGATGAGAGACTCTTTAAAGTAGAGACACTACATACTGATATACACCTGAACATCAGCAGGAGAGGACTCTTTAAAGTAGAGACACTACATACTGATATACACCTGAACATCAGCAGGAGAGGACTCTTTAAAGTAGAGACACTACATACTGATATACACCTGAACATCAGCAGGAGAGGACTCTTTAAAGTAGAGACACTACATACTGATATACACCTGAACATCAGCAGGAGAGGGACTCTTTAAAGTAGAGACCACTACATACTGATATACACCTGAACATCAGCAAGGAGAGGACTCTTTAAAGTAGAGACACTACATACTGATATACACCTGAACATCAGCAGGAGAGGACTCTTTAAAGTAGAGACACTACATACTGATATACACCTGAACATCAGCAGGAGAGGACTCTTTAAAGTAGAGACACTACATACTGATATACACCTGAACATCAGCAGGAGAGGGACTCTTTAAAGTAGAGACCACTACATACTGATATACACCTGAACATCAGCAGGAGAGGACTCTTTAAAAGTAGAGGACACTACATACTGATAATACACCTGAACATCAGCAGGAGAAGGACTCTTTAAAGTAGAGACACTACAAACTGATATACACCTGAACATCAGCAGGAGAGGACTCTTTAAAGTAGAGACACTACATACTGATATACACCTGAACATCAGCAGGAGAAGGACTCTTTAAAGTAGAGACACTACATACTGATATACACCTGAACATCAGCAGGAGAGGACTCTTTAAAGTAGAGACACTAGCATACTGATATACACCTGAACATCAGCAGGAGAGGACTCTTTAAAGTAGAGACACTACATACTGATATACACCTGGAACATCAGCAGGAGAGGACTCTTTACAAGTAGAGACACTACATACTGATATACTCCTGAACATCAGCAGGAGAGTACTCTTTAAAGTAGAGACACTACATACTGATATACACCTGAACATCAGCAGGAGAGGACTCTTTAAAGTAGAGACACTACATACTGATATACACCTGAACATCAGCAGGAGAGGACTCTTTAAAGTAGAGACACTACATACTGATATACACCTGAACATCAGCAGGAGAGGACTCTTTAAAGTAGAGACACTACATACTGATATACACCTGAACATCAGCAGGAGAGGACTCTTTAAAGTAGAGACACTACATACTGATATACACCTGAACATCAGCAGGAGAGGACTCTTTAAAGTAGAGACACTACATACTGATATACACCTGAACATCAGCAGGAGAGGACTCTTTAAAGTAGAGACACTACATACTGATATACACCTGAACATCAGCAGGAGAGGACTCTTTAAAGTAGAGACACTACATACTGATATACACCTGAACATCAGCAGGAGAGGACTCTTTAAAGTAGAGACACTACATACTGATATACACCTGAACATCAGCAGGAGAGGACTCTTTAAAGTAGAGACACTACATACTGATATACACCTGAACATCAGCAGGAGAGGACTCTTTAAAGTAGAGACACTACATACAAATATGAACCTGAAAGTGAGCAGAATATAAAGCCCCTTTAAAATACAAAAATGTGAAATGACTGGTTATCTAGTGGCGTTTAGAAGGAGGTAATTATAGGTTTTCCACACCGAGCATTCCTAGCTCTGACTTCAGGGGCCATTTATGTGAATTTTCCAGTGGGAAACTAACTTCTCTGATTATTCCAACATCACATGAATGCAGCAATGAGTGGATGCACCAGTGAAAGTGGCTGGATAACTGGGATGGATCAATTGAGCAACTCATGTCATTAATTACAGCTGTGTTTTTCCGCATATGGTCCAAAAAGGCGTATAGTTTCAGGTTTAGACTCACCTCAGATTTCTGAGAGGTGAACGCAGCCTCGCTGTCGGCCAACTTGGAATTGGACATCTGCAGTTCTGTGGAAGCATCTGCAGTTACATGAGGAAAAAACATTGAGTAAATCACAATATAAATGTACATCGATTCACAGTAAACACAGGAAGCATGAATTACATTTACGCCACACACACACCTTTTTTTTTTACCCTTACTCAATGTTAGTCACACACAGATCTGCTTTACATGACACACACACATATTTCTGTTATCAGAGTTATGTGAACTTCACAGCTGCCGTTCCTACACAAACTAAACCGACCCTACAGGCTGATCTAGTTCTAGTTCATGCCTTTCTTAAAAAAAAATGTACTAACTAAGTATTTAAGGCCTGGCATGCAGAACACTGTGTACTAAGAAGTGATAAGAATTCATACTTTTGATTTTTGTGAGCGCTGTGAGTTGGAGATGTGGGTCAAAGTCCTCTGTGCGTCAGAGTTTCATCACTCGTTGTGTGTTTGCTTCTCAGTGATGGAACTTTAGGGTAGAACGGGCTTCAAGGAGGACTTTTAAAAGAAGCTCCATAATTATTACCTTGGTTATACTCACGAGACCAGACAAAGACCTAGACCTGGTGGAAACTAGAAGCTGACTTACAGTACTATTACAATAAGAGTAGGAGCGCCTTCTTTACTTACTTCTTTGTTTGAGGTGCGCTTAGGATAAGGATATATGTAAATACAAAGTGCAAAGAAAACTCCATGGTGCTCTCTTTTGAAAAACCTAAAGCAAATGTAGTATTAAAGAGAGTCCTTTTGTGTGATTTTTTTCATATAAGTAGTGGATTTAATCATGAACCCTGTGATCTGTGTTAGCATCAGGATGTTAGCTGCTCCACTGACGGCGAATGAGAGGTTAATCGCATCGACTGAGAATGTTTTTAGTGGTATTTTACATAAAGCTGCATCTAAAAGGTATTTTTTTATTACTGATTAATCTGCCAATTATTTTCTTAATTCTATCAAATATGAGGGGAAAAGTGTCAAATGTCAATCCTGGCTCTAAAATCCGAAGTGATGTGTTTAATTATAGGACTTATAACTTCTTACCGTACATTTTACATTCATATTTAATTTAATATGCACACTAAATGTAAATAATATTATATTGTGTAATTTAGCTCATCAATAGTGTTTTAGTTGTCAGATAGTTTACATATTTGTACCTTCACGGTCAACTTTTATATTTTGACTATTTTAATTTTGTATTTTGAGATGTCTATATTGTATAATTGTTCGTTTTCTACTCTTTTTTATTTCTTATTATGTGCAATATTTGTTTTGCATGCTGTTGCGACCAAAACATTTCCCAATTTGGGATCAATAAAGTATATCTTATCTTTAAATGTCTTGTTTTGTTTGCAAACTTTTAAAAGGCTAAATGTATTATAAGATACAAAAAAAGACATATTTAAGACGCTGAAAACAGCATTTTCTGACATGTTTGCATTGAACACTACAAATGTATTGATTACCAAATGTTTGTCTGTCTGTCGTCTTATATATTTGTTAAATAATCTTTTGAGATATATATTGACTCCCAGAAAACACCTTAAACTCTAAGCTCTATAAATGGTGCCATAGTCTTCACATCATCTATTTAAAATAAAGACTTATTAAGGGAATACATGTCTGATATATTAAGTTCAACCAGACTATGTGGGTTACGTTTAAACCTTGAAGAAACACATAACTTTCTGATGCTACATTGAGCTGCACATGCTTAGTTTAGCACATCAGGAAACATTTTGTGTGCATCTTTTAAAAAGCACCTTTAGGGCATAGCTTGCTGACATTCTAATATGTGTGCACAGTTATGCAATGCTGAGAAGATTCACCGTTGAAGACGACATTCATTTTTCTAGTTCACTGCAGATGAAACATTTTGGATGCAAAATTCAAACAAATATTCTTGTCCTGCAAGATGTCTGACTTCATTTACTTTCAACAGCTTCTTAAGAGGAATGCCAGTGTTAGGTTTACATTCATCTCCTCATCCACATGAGAGCAAGAATACTTGAACACATCAGACTAACAAAGCAGCAGTGTGTACGCTAATCTACTACCCTTAATCAAGTCGGTTGCTTACCTCAGTACTCAGTCAATTAGAAGTCTTTGGATAGCATATCACTTAACTGTCCTCATCATTGTAATAAGTCAAGAATTAAGGAACTTATTGTACTGCAAATGACCCAGATCTGATTATAAACAGACTGGGCTCTGGTTTCAGACAGAGGGTGAAAAGAGGTGCTGTACAGGAGAAAAATAGAGAATAAAGTGTCTTTCTCTTTGTGTTTATAGGTGTGTGGCTAGTGGTACATCCTTAATTTCTCTCATTTGTGCATCTGTCGCCTGGTTGTTAGTGTATTTTCCTTCTTGTAGGTAGCACTTAGAAATGTTCGCTTATTTGAAGCTGCATTATGTATTGCTACTCTCTGTATGTGTTTCCTTGTGGTTCATTGCATTTACTGTATGTCCCCTTGGATGACAACGGCTGAAAATGTAATTTGTTTTTTATTGGAAGACAAGAGGCACACCCATGAGCTTCATATTAGGATCTTTAATTAAACAATAACAGGCGCTCTTGCTCTGCTCCAGCTGAGAGTCTGATGATGTGGCCACCATACGAGATAACACACACACTCACTCACCTCCTACTTCTTCCACCCCCTCCAGTAGCATGTCTTTAGTGAAGTTGGATATCTGCCCGGTGAAGGAGGGACAGGCTTCCTCCGACATTCCCAGGGACTGCCCGAGGCCGGAGCCGATTCCCCCCAGCCCACGATGACATGTTGACGGATACAAAACAAACCAAAACAAAGCCGGGCCGAGGGAGGACTAGCAGGGGAGGGGGCTAGCTAGCTCAAACTCCAGAGGTGATGCAGCCAATATAGTCATTAAGCTGAAATGATAACTCCACCTCAGGTTGTTATTAACTTCAAAATCCACTTTAATCTTAAAACGAAGTCGCTTTTCAGGCTGACAGAAGCTCCTTTAGCAACAGCTGATCTGGAGGAATTTGCTAAGCTAAGCTAAGCTAATCTAAGCGACGTTATGTGACATTTAAACAGCTAATATGTTACTTTACAGATGTACGTTTAGTACCGTCGTCTACGCTGGGTGTTAGCGGTGTTTTCAGAAGGTTTTAGAAGGTCTGACAACAATGCAAGGGGCAGAAAGTGCCACCTCAACTGCAGCCATATTTATCCGATCGGCTGCTGCTGTCAGGTTTGACGTGGACACAGGACACGGCCGCGGTGCATTGTGGGATTCTGGAGGACCAACAAATACTTCTTCTTCTTCGGTTTTTAAGGCGGTTGGCGCCTCCTGCTGGATTGACCAACAAATAACAAGGTGCGTTCACGAAGTCACGTAAAGATAATGTGTATTCAAAAACAACACACGTTGATCTAAGTCAAAGATATTTAAAAGGAATAAATAGTCAATTAAATAAATACATATACATTCAAAAACGCTGTGCACTACAGTCGCAGTGAATAATTACAAATATACACATTTATTTACGATAAAAAATTGTGTATTCGTCTAAATAGCGTTTTATCCCAAAAGACAATTGTTTATTTTGCAGAACATATTGTATATTTCCTCCATGCAATATGATACACTCGTCTTGAATTATCCTTTTATTTGGCTGGATTTAGTTTCATTATTAACTTTACATACAGTACATTTTGGGGGTGTTTAGTCTCCTAAATGAATAAAATAAATTATGCTTCAAGTTTGCCTTGTGTTTACCTAAAATATATATTTAAAGCTGGAGTCCTGAAAGTTTCCCAGAGTTTCATAGCATTTATCATTTGGGTTTAAGTTAATAAAGACAT